GTTACAAGAAAATGATTATAGTTTCCTGTGCTATACAGTAGGTCCTTGTTGTTTATCTATTTTATACACAGTAATGTGTGTCTGTTAATCCCCAACTCCTAATTTACCCCTCCCCACCCTTTCCCCTTTGGTAACCATAGTTTGTTTTCTATACCTATGAGTTGGTTTTTGGTTTATAAATAGAATTTGTATCTTTTTTTAGATTCCACATATAAGTGATATCATATGATATTTGTCTTTCTCTGTGTGACTTCACTCAGTATGATCATCTCTAGGTCCATCCATGTTGCTGCAAGTGGCATTGTTTCATTCTTTTTTTAATAGCTATTTACTGTTGAGTTTTGAGAGCTCTTTGCATATTCTAGATATGGATTCGTGGTTTGCAAAAAATGTCTCCTGGTCTTTACTTTATTCATCCTCTTCACAACATCTTTTGCAGAGCAAAACTTTTCAATTTTGGTCAAGTCCCATTGATCAATTTGCGTCTAATAAACTATGCTTTTGGTGACAACTATAAAAACTGGCTAGCCCTAGATCTCAAAGATTTTCTATTTTTTAAAACACTTTTTTTCTGTTTTCTGTTTTAAGTCTGTAATTCGTTATGAGTTAATCTTGTATAAGATGTGAGGTCGTAGGTCACAGTTCTTTTATTTTTTTTGCCTCAGGATGTCCAGTTTTTCCAGCACCGTTTGTTGAAAAGACCGTCCTTCCTGCACTGAACTGCCTTTACCCTTGGTCAGAAATCAGTTCAGCGTGTTTGTGTGGGGCCGTTCTCCACTTCCGCTGACCTGTGTGTCTCCTTCCACCGGTGACAAGTACCACCAATACCTCATTACTGCAGCTTTATAATTAAGCTTGAATCGGGTGGACTGATTCCTCTCACTTCAGGGTTGTTTCTAACAGCTGTCATCTCCAGGGCTGCGTGTGACCGCCAGGTGTCGTGGGGAACACCTGGCCTGAGCCCCCCTTGTTTCCCGTGTCCACCGAGTGCCACGCAGGTGGCCCTGAGCCCGGCTAACTTCACAGTAGTCCTGGCTGTCTGGTCCTGTTACTGCTCTGGTGCTCCAGCGATCACAGTTGTGGTCAGCTTGTTTGCCTTTTGTTGTGCTGATCATACAATTTGACAAAGATTTAAGGTTACGCAGTGGTTCTCAGACTCCAGCTGCATCAGAATAACCTGGCGGTTCGTGAAAACACGCAGTGCGGGGCCCCCGCCCAGAGAGGCCTGGGGAGGTGCCCGAGAATTGGCGTTTCCGAGAAATGAGGAATGCCCAGGTGGCACTGGTGCTCCTATTTGCTGGTCCAGGGACCACACTTTGAGAACCACTGGGGTAAGGTAAGTTTCCCCAGTGTCAGTGGTTAAAATTGGCCGGATCTCAGACTTAGAATTTTCCTACCATTTCTGCAATAACAGTACTGTCTGCGATTTCTTGTTGAAATTTCCTTCATGCCCCAGAAGTCTGGAGACTGGACTTCCTTCTCCAAGGGAGCAACCTGAGTGCCATGGGGAGTTTTGCCATGACAGCAGACTTCACAATGCTCCTTTCCTGCCTTGTTCTGCCGCCCAGGGTGGCTGTGAGCTACATTCTTGGGCTGAAAGGACCACTTTAGAGCCCACATTTCAGGGGCCAGATGCTTCTAATAAAGATATTATTCCCAGGACACAAACATGTAAATATGAGAGTGCAGTTGAATAAAAGCCTAAAACTTGGAGCTGTGTCCCTCCCTCCCTCTCTCATTTTCTTCCCGCGGCCACTTCAAAAACTGGCTGGGTGTCCTCTCCCGTCAGGTGTGCCCTGGGGACTCTTGCGGGGAGGGGGACCCTCCTCCAGAGGCCAGACTGAAGGCAGGCGCTGCGGGGGGAGGCAGCCACACAGGGCCTCTCGGACTTGGCCAGAGTCCATGAGGAGGGCCGGGGCAGCCCCCTGTGTCCACATTCCTCGATCCTGTGGGCCTTGTGGGGACCCCAGATTCTGCTGTGATCTGGCTACAGTTTGGGGGCTGCCTTTGAAGACCCCACTGTTCACCTTTCAGAACTTCCTCGACCAGGAGCTGGTGTTGGCAGGTGGGCTGGGTTCCCACTGGCGGGCAGCCGGCTCTCAGGCCCCTGGGGCACTCAGCAGCTCACAAAAATGGGTTTCCACTTGTTTCTTCTGCCGCGTCGCTCCTCACTTTTTGCTCCATGACCAGCGGTGGCCCCTGTTCCAGACTGGCTCGCAGCCACGCCTGCAGATCCCACCAGCCAGGAGACCCCAAGTTAGACTTGCCAACAAGGCCATGTGAGACACCTTGTCACTTACATGGGTGCTCCCAGGGAAAGAAGGCACCACGCCGTGCGGGGGGAATCAGCCTGGTAATTTGTCCTCGGCATTTTAAGGGCAAATTGGAACCCACCTCTGTCTCATTTCCTTAGAACGAATTCACTTCCGTGGTGAAATTTTCAGCTGTTCTCTTCCTGCTCAGTAAAACCTGTGTTCAGCAAGTCTGAATCTTCATGTGGACTTTGCATCGTCTGCTTTCCGTTCTTTAAGCTCCGGGGTTGGGAGCGGGCAGAGGGCATGTGGAATCAGCATTCAGGAAGTGCCGGCCTGCGTGCCTCCCCAGAAGGGCTCCTAGGAATTCAGAGGGGCTTGGACAAGGAGCGGGGTGCAGGGAGGCTGCGCTGGGCTGGCTTAGGTGCGGGTGGGGGAGTGTGAGGGGAGAGGATCGGCTGTTTAGTGGCACGTACTGGGTGTCTCTCACTTCATGCTCCCCTGGAACTACATGAAGTGGGCGTTTGAATTTCCATTTTATAGGTCAGGAATCTGGGGTTCCAGGATTAACACGTTCATATCACCCACGAATGTGTAGGGGCTTAAGAGCGACTGCCTGCTGTGGAGGTGGTGTTTGAGGTGAACCTCCAGGGAGGTAGACGTGACTGGATGTGATAAAGGCTTCCTGGAGAGCAGGAGGGCTCTCCTCCCTGATGTCACGCGTGGCTTTCGTCCCCAAGAGAAGTGAGTGCCGGTTGGGTGTCACACACAGGTCAGCAGCTGGAGAAAAATAGAGATCGTGTGAGACGGGGTTGCCCTTGAGGAAGTCACCGTCCGGGGAGGGAGGAAAAGCAAATAGGAGTGGCAACGTGAAAGCTAGGGTTTTAAAATTGGTGGTATGAGCGGGGAGAGGGTGTAGCT